TCCACAGCAACAGACCCTCATTATTATTTCATATTCACTCGACTGATGGAAAAGAAACATCCAATGCAGATATTATGGGTGTGAGATAGTGATAGCAGTGCACCAATTCCAAGTTACAGCACACACACACGCCGTTCCACCGCAAGTGTGTCATGCTGCCAGGAAGCTCGGGCCAAACACTCGCCTCTTCTTCCACCAACAAACTCAATTCTGGCCCGCTTTTGCTTGTCAAGACCTGGCTGTCTCACTCTAATTGGCTCAAACAAAAGCAGGTTGTCATTCTCCCCCCTTGCGGAATGCTCTGGAAATATAGAACAACTCCCCGTTTCATTGGCCACTCAATTGAGTACCCATCAAGACGATCTGGGAGTGCTATACGACAGATAAATGGACACATTCCAACGGTCCGGCTTGGGCTATTCAAGTGCCTTTTGGACGACAAAACACGAGTCGTTCATCAAATGCCACCATCTTCCTCCGCCACCCACTGTGTGGCTACGTGGTGAGAAGCGGGATCTTCAAAAGGTCCGGCATGTGGATGGAGGGGCTGAGCGGACCCCGGCTTTGGCTCGACAGGCCACTATTGAGAATGCTTGCTGGCCCTTAAACTCCACACACACACACACACACACACACACACACACACACACACACACACACACACACACACACACACACACACACACACACACACACACACACACACACACACACACAATCTTACGTAAAGAGGACTACCACAGGCACGTACACGCAAAAAAACAAACAAAAACCCCCCCAAAAAAACATCAGGCTGGATCCGGTGCAGAAGAAGACAGAGGGACGGTTGGGGATGTGTGGGTTCATAGGGGGAAGGTGGTGGCGGTATTTATAGGCCACAAGTGATGGGATGCCCTCATTAATTCATGGCTCATTGAGCCAGATGACAGACACGCCGCCAAGAGGTCATGTGACCACATTACTCACTCCAGCACCCTGTGTGGGGGGCTCGCTGAGGGGAAACAGAGGGCTGGGGGAAACAGAATGCCCCATTTCAACAAAAGTGCAGACCATCTATTTCTTTGCACTGTCCATCGATGGAGGACACACCGCAGTTTGGTATCTGAATTACCTGATGAGGTGTGTTTCGTAACCTGAGGTTACGAACGACTGAGGCGGGGGAAGATGACCACGTAACAGGTGAACTGAGAAGGGTTTGGCTAAATATGTACAGATCATACCATGACGCAACTAGACGTCATTTGTGTCTCATTTTCCACGAGAGATGTTCCGATAACGGCGGTCTCGCGACATTAAAATTGCCGCGATATCGTCGTCGTCGTCATGTCACAATATTAAAAGCGCCACATCTGTTAAATAGGCCAGTTTATTTTCCATTTGTGCAGTTCCAGCACCCTCTGGTGGTTAGTTGACGAATGTCGTTGAATTTGAATTAGGTATGTTTTGGTCCGCTATCTTTAAGACCCACGCTAATCGGCATATGAAAGGGGAACGTAACACATTTGAGTTTCTACAGAAATCGACTCACAATGTGCTAATGTGTGCAGTAGCATTAAGTGTCTCAATATCAAGCGTTATTCGTGGTATCAACCGAACACAGCATTGTGAACTACATGTCCCATGATACTTTGCACCGCTGAGCCGAAAGGAGCACTTGGCAAAAAAATGACTCGCCGATCTGATTTCTTAGTCACTGCTGTTACGTACAAAAACACAATATTGCACCATTTTCCCCATAAGGAAAGAAAATAATGTGAAAATGCGGCGAAGAAATCTATGTATTCAAGTTAGGCTCGCTAAGTGAGTGGCAACGTAAGATGGCGGATGGCGGTTTCACTCCTTGCAACAGCGAATAAGCAGCATCGCCGTGCATACAAGTACTTCCGGTACTCAAAAGACCAGGATATGTTGCGGCTCGAGCAAATGTTCCTCCAAAGGAGGCCTCTGATCACGTTTATATGACCAACTATTTGGATTAGAAAAGGGGCATCCTAACGATCTTATTGTTATTTATATGAGCATATCGTCGCTATTGGAGAGTTTAGTAATCCAGGCCCAGAGAGGCCATGTCTTTAATCCTCGCCATGTAGCCGCCTTCAAGTCCACACACACACACACACAC